GGTACAGTGTAATCTGATTGCTGGCATATTGATCTCCACATCTTTTCACCAATTTAACAACGTCAGAATTGAATGTCATCGTAAAAAAACGAAGCCGACAGTGCAATTTGTATCTGGTGGTTTTTCACATTAAAATTCAGTGCATGTGTTTTTGCCAGACCCAACAAACATTGTCTGTTTTCATCAGACATCATTTTTTTTATGGTGACAGTGACTGTGATAAGATCAAACATCCACGCTGTATTTGCAACTGAAGAAACATGTAATTTGACAATTTGATGAATGTTTGCACTGACTTCATCACACTAATTTGATTACTACTACTATTGTCACCGACGAATAAACAGTATGACACAGTGATTTTGCACCTATATTGTCTAATATATATTAAATATATATCTACTTACCAATGTTAGCCATGCATTTGTTTGTAATGTTTCTTTTCGTTCATCCTAAAATGACAGGAACAATTGATTTATAGTCAGCAACAACAATAACATGTGAACCGATATACAAATATTAATCAAATTGTCCGCCATCATTGTGTTCTCGCATAAACATTTTTTGTCACGATCCTCTCAACAGAATAGCGTATCCGACTAACTGTAATTTAACCTGGATTGATAATACACGTGTTTATTTTATCTCCGCAATTTAGTCTTCTGGTAATTATATAGCTACAGATCACATCACATGACTATACAATTATACATTGCAAGACACCGGCATAAATATCATCGTCACCTGAATAAACTTGAATTCACCTACAAGTACGTACCACAATATACAAGACATCATACTGCATACATAGCATTTTCACATTAAATGACTGTAGGAAAATACATGTAACGTCTGTTAAACCTCCATAGAGATTTTAACGTCACGGGGGCTAATGTGAAATTACATTTCAATGTTTTCAGTATTTTATAATCGCCCTTTTGTACAACATTTTTGTATTGTGCAATTTTGATGAAAATAATTTGTATTTTATTGATAATGATAAAAACCCTACACACGTCATATGAAAGTCTTTACAACATTAACATGAATAAACCAGAACACATTAGCTGACAAATGAATGATACTAGACATGTCACATGCATGTACAATCATCACCTGAAACAGAATACACATAACCACATGCACACCGTATCATCTGACTGGTGACGAATGTCGATCCACATTGTATGTACAAACATCACCATCAAGTCATCAGAGTGTACATCAAGTGACTGTGGGGCAATGACTTTCAGGTTATATATAAACCATCGACACACAATCATACACACAATCATCATCACATCTTTTAACTGTAGACTGGCAAGTCGCCTGCATGTCTGTATAAACATTGTCTCCAAGACATCAGAATGCACACATGAACAACACAACAGCTGTCTGTAGAACAGACACGTAACAGGTATGGGAACTGGGAAGTACGAATTCTACTGTAGCTGTCTGCTATATTTGCCATGAAAATCATGTTTATTTATGACGAAAACATATACAGACATTGTAAAGGTCATTCAATGTAAGCTACTCTTTGTTAGTTTTCAAGTTCGGACATATACGGCAATGCATTCCTACCGCACGTATCCAGTTGACGATGTGAATGGGATTGTCGTGTCATTCCGAAATACTGTCGATTGAAAAGACGGCGTTAAATAGTCGAAAGATTGAACTCCGAGACTACAATCTCGACTCAATATGCCTGTACTTCGTTGGGTCTTTAGTTAGGAATAAGACGTTACATCAGTTGTACTAGTTATGGACTTAATTGGTATGGTGGCATCACAATGAAATGATCTAAACAGACCATATATCAAATGCTTCTTTCAACACGAGTAAGTCCAATAATGTGATTAGCACATACGTAGTGGTCAGCAGATGGTGTAGTTTACAGGTCATGCAAACAGATAAAGTGTGTAATCATAATTCGTCCTATATCTATAGTACGATTAAATTATGGACAAAGGGAAGGGTGTAATCCGGTGGGTGAACTTGCCTGCCTAAAAGTATGTGATACAGATAGTATAAGCTTTGTTTACGTCACATTACTGTGAAAAACCTCCTGTAAAAAAGGAAGGTGGGGCATTCAGTGTTGAAACTTTGTTTTGACCATTGCAACAATGGCGTTCAGGGGTTCACTCAATCTTTATTTCAACTTAAAGCTTTGTTTTCGCCCAGACTATAACTAGTCAAGCGTGGGTGTTGTTACTTCAAACCATTTGTATTGTTATCTTTATATGTCCATTGTAGTTTTTTGAAATCTTTTACGACTATTGAATTTGTGTCTTACTATGCTCATTTCTATGACATACATTTTAAACTCACCCTAATCAGTTTCCTGAATAGACATTATAATTTATATTTTTTTATAAATGTTTGAAATAATTTCGCATTTTGATAAGACAGTTATTTACTTGTTCGGCCTTTAGAGTAATTGTAATTGTTTTGTTTTGAAAAACATTGTTAAAGCGATACGAATTTGCGAAAATATTCACCAAAATACAACCAATGGTTACACAACATATTTCAGGACGAATCTAAAAGTCTATATATAGAAAGCGGATATAAGTTAAGCTAAATAAATAAATCAACAAAAAAAGTTTTCTTATGACTAAAGTGTCATATCATTCCTCTCCAATTATTATGTTCACCTATTTCATGATGCTGCCGACTGACGCGCTGATTACTGATGTTAACGACTCCACTTGGCATGGATGGGGTAGGAGGAATCTTATATTTCTAATTCTATTCTAAATATTTTATGAAAACTCATCATTCACACTAATTAAAAATCGATGTAACCTTCATGTGATCATATGACTGCGAATATATACATTAATTTGCATATTAATAGATGAATAGTGGAGTTTCTTCATTGAGTTTGTAAACTGTCATAAAATCTTCTGTGACCTATGTTTGACACTCAGTAAATTGTAAATAATAGGTAGCATCTAACAAATGTTTCAAACTGTTTCATACGTGACTGTGTAATTTATTAGTTATTCAAAATACATGATAATGTGCACATTTTGTCATCACAACAATGCGCGAGTTGTTAATTTTGACCACTGTTTTAAGCATGTTTCATTTATAAAAGATGTTCTGATGATGTAAAT